CTTCATATTCTAGCATTCTAGTAATGATGATGATAATAGGTTGGATGGCCATCTGTCAGGAGGGCTTGGATTGTGTCTTTCCTGCCTGGCAGAAGAGGGTTGGACTGGGTTGGACTGGATGGCCTTTGTGTTTATGTTCCAACTCTAAGATTCTATGACAGAGCTGGCAAGCTGGTGTGTCACTTTGCTCCGACCGTTTCACCTTTGGGTTGTTGTAGGTTTTTTTCAGGCTATATGGCCATGGTCTAGAGGCATTCTCTCCTGACGTTTCGCCTGCATCTATGGCAAGCATCCTCAGAGGTAGCGCGTTCTGTTGGAACTAGGAAAATGAGTTTATATATCTGTGGAATGACCAGGGTGGGACAAAGGACTCTTGTCTGCTGGAGCTAGGTGTGAATGTTTCAACTGACCACCTTGATTAGCATATAATGGCCTGGCAGTGCCTGGGGCAATCTTTTGTTGAGAGGTGATTAGATGTCCTTGTTTGTTTCCTCTCTGTTGTTGTGCTGTTGTAATTTTGCCTTTCACCTTTGGCAGGGTTGGATGGCCATCTGTTGGGAGGGCTTGGATTGTGTCTTTCCTGCCTGGCAGAAGACGGTTGGATTGGACGGCCTTTGTGTTTATCTTCCATCTCTAGCATTCTATGACAGAGCTGGCAAACTGGTGTGTCACTTTGCTCTCACCGTTTCACCTTTGGCAGCAGAAAGAAAGTCAGTCAGAGAAGGCCATAAAAGTGAGTTTTGATGACTGGAGGCTGCCAGGTGAGCGAGAAAGGCCTTGCGGAGACGCCACCTGGGCAGGACAGCAGCCCGTGGCTTGGCCTGGTCCCCGCCTCTACCTGCAGGGAGTGGCAGGAAGCCTTGCCCTTATATGGGCACACCTGGGCAGCCAGGTACATGCAATGCACCTGCTTTATAGCCAGCAGGGAGAGATACCTGCACCACAAAAACCAGGTGACTTCGAAAGCCAGGTGACTTTGGAAGAAATAGTGCCCCTGATCATGTGCAGAGGGCTCACACTCTTAGTCTCCTTGGATTGAAGTCCTAGGGGAAGATGGGAGCATGTGGAATGATATAACATGGGATTATCATATGGTTTTTTTGGACAACCATACCCAGAATCCCCCAACTGTAAGGATTATGGGTGCTGTTGTCCTTAAAAGTACTTCTCTGCCATGAGTCATAGCCAGGGATCATGTGATGTACTCCAATGACCAATGCAGTTTGCATCCTTCCTATTCCTGTTGTGAATAAACCGAAAGTTTCTTTGTCCTGTCGGTTTCAAATCCATATTCTTTGGCCGAAGAAGGAGACGGAGTGTCACTGTGTCAGTGAGTCACACTTTCGCTGGGCCAAAAGTACAGCATTTCTTCACGGATCCTTCTTGGGCTGCAACTGACTCATGCTGTCATAAAAGCAGAAACAAACAAGCAGCGGATGGATGGGGAGAACGGCGCTCTGTGCATGCCCAGATGCCCACTTGTTCCCTGGCAGAGAAGAGTATATTAACACTGTCGAATTAATGCATTTTGACCCCATTTGAATTGCCAATGGAATCCTGGAAGTTGTAGTATCACATAGTCTTCAGCCTTCTCTGCCTCTCCAAACTGCAACTTCCAGGATCCCATTGCATTGAGCCACGGCACTTCAAGTAGGATCAAAGTGCTCTAACACTGCAGTGTGGACAGTGCGCTAAACAAGATTTGTATTAGTAGTCTTTCCTGAATAAAAATTGTATACTGATATATTTACATGTACGTGTATGTGTGTGTGTATATATATGTGTGCATGTGCATTAGCATATGCACCTGTGTGTTTATGTGTGCTTATATCCATATGTGTGTGTGGGTATGCATATATATATGTATGTATGTATGTATGTATGTATGTATATATATCTGCACATGTATACATGCACATATATATCCACATACATACATACATACACACACACACACACACATATATATATATAAGCACACATAAATACACAGATACATATACACATGCACACACATATGTGATTTCTGATTTTGGCCCACCCTCTGTGTGTGTGTGTGTGTGTGTGTGTGTATGTATATGCAGAAGCATACACTAACACACTCATATATATGTAAATATATAGACCTGTAATTTTTTTGTGTTGGTGTCACTGTGTGTCTTACAATGGATGGCGTCCCAGAATTAAAGAAATATGTTTTTTGTGTGTGTGCGCGTGTGTGTTAGTGTATGTTTGTAAATGTGTGTGCATATACATACACAGACACACAGACACACACAAACACATATATCTAAACACATATATGTACACACACAAGTGGTGGTCCAAAGAAGTTTCGACATATATATATATACACACACACACACACACACATATACACATACACATACACAGAGAGAGAGAGAGAGAGAGAGATGGCCTAAGTACTATCAATACAATAATAAATAATAAATAATAAGATCGCACTGCAAAGACTCTGGCACAAGCCAGTAAAGGTGGTCCCAGTGGTTATCGGCACACTGGGTGCAGTGCCTAAAGACCTTGGCCTGCACTTAAACGCAATTGGCGCTGACAAGATTACCATCTGCCAGCTGCAGAAGGCCACCTTACTGGGATCTGCATGCATTATTCGCCGATATATCACACAGTCCTAGACACTTGGGAAGGGTCCGACGTGTGAGCCAATTCAACAGCCAGCAGAGTGATCTTGTTTGCTGTGGATTCATCTTGTTGTGTTTCTAATAARAATAATAATAATAATAATAATAATAATAATAATAATAAATCACACAGTCCTAGATACTTGGGAATCATAGAATCAAAGAGTTGGAAGAGACCTCATGGGCCATCCAGTCCAACCCCATTCTGCCAAGAAGCAGGAATACTGCATTCAAAGTGTCTGACGTGTGATCCAATACAACAGCCAGCAGAGAGTCTGCTGTGMACTCATCTTGTTGTGTTTCAAATAATAATAAATTTAATATACAGTACCATATAATTATATATGCTTTGCTATTTTGCTGCTGGAACACATCTCACCATGCTAAAACAGTGGATGTGGCTCTTAATGAGACAGGGCGCATTATCACAGGGTGTCTGCGCCCTACACCACTGGAGAAATTACACTGTCTAGCCAGTATTGCACCACCTGACATCCGCCGGGAAGTAGCAGCCAATAGTGAAAGGACCAAGGCAGTGACATCTCCAGCTCATCCCTTGTTTGGGTATCAGCCAGCAATTCAACAACGTAAATCAAGAAATAGTTTTCTAAGATCTACAGAGACACTCGCTGGAACACCCCAGCAAGCAAGAGTCCAAAAGTGGCAGGCTCAAACCCAGAGCTGATACCAAATTAGAGACTCCCCCCTGGGCACACAGAAGACTGGGCGACTTGGAAGGTGCTGAACAGACTGCGCTCTGGCACCACGAGATGCAGATCCAACCTCAAGAAATGGGGCCACAACGTGGAATCCACGACATGCGAGTGTGGAGAAGAGTAAACTACCGATCACCTGTTGTAATGCAACCTGAGCCCTGCCACATGCACAAGGGAGGCCCTTCTTGCGGCAACACCAGAGGCACTCCAAGTGGCCAGATACTGGTCAAAGGACATCTAATCAACCACCAAGCTTGCAAACTTTGTGTTTTGTTTGTTTGTTAAATGAAGCTTTCCTCCATTTCCTCCAAAGTGACTCTTTCCCAAGGCAGGTATCACCTGGCCACACCCCACCTATGCCATCCAAAGCATAAATGGATATAATTTGGGGACTGGCTGTACTTCATTAGAGAAGTAATTTCCCAAATTATGATCAGGGAGATTGTTTGGTAGCTTCCTGGGAAAACGGATGCTCAATCCAAGTGGCTAGACCTCATGGCTGAAAAGCAGGTTTACTCACAAGTCAAGCTTGATGTCTAGATTAGGAATGGCTTGACACCAAGACAACACTTTGGCCCTCCAGGTGTTTTGGACTTCAGCTCCCACAATTCCTAACAGCCTACCTGTATACATACATCATATACATACATACATACATCCAGTAGGCTGCTAGGAATTGTGGGAGTTGGAGTTCTTAAACACCTGGAGAGCCCAAGTTGGGCCACACCTGCTTTGGAGCCTACCTGTATACATTCATCACATCTAGTTTGGATCCTACCTGTATACATACATCATCCGTACAGCCAGTAGGCTGTTAGGAATTGTGGGAGTTGGAATCCATAAACACCTGGAGGACTCAAGTTGGCCCACACCTGCTTTGGACCCTACCTGTATACATTCACCACACCTAGTTTGGATCCTACCTGTATACATACCTCATATAATACATACATACAGCCAGTAGGCTGTTAGGAATTGTGGGAGTTGAAGTCCATAAACACCTGGAGGGCCCAAGTTGGCCCACACCTGCTTTGGACCCTACCTGTATGCATACATCACACCTGGTTTGGGCCCTACCTGTATACATACATCATATACATACATGCAGGCAGTAGGCTGTTAGGAATTGTGGGAGTTGGAGTCCATAAACACCTGGAGGGCCCAAGCTGCTCCACACCTGCTTTGGACACTACCTGTATACATACATCATATACATACATACAGCCAGTAGGCTGTTAGGAGGTGTGGGAGTTGAAGTCCAAAATACCTGGAGGCCCATACATGTACACATACATCATATAGATACATAAATATAAATATATCTCCTCTGACCCAGGTGTTTTCTTCCTTTCACACCTGTATGGAGTTAAATGGGACTCAAAAAACTCAGCTGCAACCTGTTGACTTCTTCAAGTCCTCCCTTTCTTTGCCCATTCCCTCCAGACTAGAGGAAAGCAGGTATCCGATATCCCTGTCACCTGGCGACGCCTCACCTGTGGGATTTCCGCCTGCAAGAGGGCGAAAGGGGAGGGGGCTCTTTGCCTCTTCCTGGAGGGTGGCCTTGGGTCTCGGTTTCTGGTGACACTCCTCCTCCTCCGGCGCTGACGTCACGCGCCCCTTCCTCCCTCCCTCCCTGGTCGCCAAAGGCATAAATACAGGTGCGCTCACCTGGCGCGCAGGTAAGCGCCTCCCGCCGCCTCCTTTGCGTGTCTCCTTCGGGTTGTTTGCTGCGTGGACGCCTCTCCTCCCGGACTCTCGATGGCCAACTCGGGCTTGCAGTTGCTGGGCTTCGCCTTGGCTCTGTTGGGCTGGATCGCCACCTTGGTGGCCACCATCATGCCCCAGTGGCAGATGTCCTCCTACGCCGGGGACAACATCATCACGGCCCAAGCCATCTACAAGGGGCTCTGGATGAGCTGCGTCTGGCAGAGCACCGGACAGATCTCCTGCAAGGTCTTCGACTCCGTCTTGGCCCTCGACAGTGAGTCTTTGGGGGGAGGGGGGATTGGGGGCAAGGAAGGGGGTCTCCCGGAAGCAGGGCTGGGGGGAGGCCAAGGAGGGGCTCCCAGGACCCTCGTGGATCCATTTCACCCTTGGGCTTGGCTTTGGGGAGCAACAAAGGCCAGTTCCTCCCAAGTCGGGAGCTTCACAGACTCTGAATCCCTTTGAGCAAAGAGGAACACCCTTTTGGGGAGCAACAAAGCCCAGAACCCCCGGTTTGGGGGCCTCAAAGACTCAGAATCCCTTGAAACAAACAAAATAACCTATTTGGGGAGCAACAAAGCCCAGAATCCCCGGTTTGGGGGCCTTAAAGACCCAGAAAACCCTTGAAACAAACAAAATAACCTATTTGGGGAGCATCAAAGCCCAGAATCCCTAGTTTAGGGGCTTCAAAGACTCTGAATCTCTTGAAACAAACAGGATCACATTTTTGGGGAGCAACAAAGCCATTTGGGGGAGCAACAAAGCCCATAATCCCCAGTTTGGGGGCTTCAAAGACACTGAATCCCTTTGAACAAACAGGATCACATTTTTGGGGAGCAACAAACCCATTTGGGGAAGTAACACAGCCCAGAATCCCCAGTTTAGGGGCTTCAAAGACTTTGAATCCCTTTGAACAAACAGGATCACATTTTTGGGGAGCAACAAACCCATTTGGGGGAGTAACACAGCCCAGAATCCCCAGTTTAGGGGCTTCACAGACTCTGAATCCCTTCGAACAAACAGGATCACATTTTTGGGGAGCAACAAAGCCCAGAATCCCCAGCTTAGGGGCTCCAAAGACTCTGAATCCCTTTGAGCAAAGAGGATCACATTTTTGGGGAGCAACAAAGATCATAATCCACAGTTTAAGGGCTTCAAAGACTCAGAATCCCTTTGAGGAAACAGAATTAACTTTTCTGGAGGAGCAACAAAGCCCTGAATTCCCAGTTTAGGGGCTTCAAAGACTTCAAAACCCTTTGAGCAAAAAGGAACACCCTTTTGGAGAACAACAAAGCCCAGAATCCCTGGTTTGAGGGCTCCAAAGTCTCTGAATCCCTTTGAGCAAAAAACAGGATAACCCATTTGAGGGAGCAACACAGCCCACAATCCCCAGTTTAAGGGCTTCAAAGATTCAGAATCCCTTTGAGCAAAAAGGAACACCCTTTTGGAGAGCAACAAACCCCAGAATCCCCAGTTTAGGTTCTTCAAAGACTCTGAATCCCTTTGAACAAACAGGATAATCTTTTTTGGGGGGAACAACAAAGTCCAGAATCCCCAGTTTAGGGGCTTCAAATACTCTGAATCCCTTTGAACCAGCAGGACAACCCTTTTGGGGGAATAACAAAGCCCAGAATCCCCAGTTTGAGGGCTTTAAATATCCAGAATCCCCCTTTTTTCCTGGATGATAGACCTTCAGAAAAGTTTCAAACTTTCAGGAAACCCATTTTTGGGACAAAAAACTCCCGAGATCACAATTTTCTGGACAAACCAACTTTCCCTTAGTATTTTCCCAGCTCCAGACTTTCCAAAATCACAATGTTTTGATTTCCCAGAAGCCCAATTCCAGGGTTATGACATCCCAGAAACTCCAATTTTCAGGTGACTCGCTTTCCACACTTTGGACTCCAAACTTCCCGAATCTTTGGCTCAATTATTCCCAGAATCCACTTCCTTTTACTATTACATGATCCCAGCGCCCTTCCAGGCAGGCCCTATATCCCAGGATCTGATCCCAGGTGGAAACTGGATTATATGAGTCCACATTGCCAGATAATCTGGGATAAACAGAAAACCTGGGACCAGATCCTGGGATATAGAGCTTGTCTGGAAGGACACCCAGAATCCCCGTTTTTGGGACCTCCAGACTTCCAAAATCTACGTTTTGGGGTTATAGACTCCCCAGAATCCCCATTTCTCAAACAATTTGCTCCCCAAATCCCTGTTTTTTGGGGGGCTAAACACAACCAAAATCCCAATTTTCTGGAGTGCAAACTTCAAATAGTGCAATCTACTCCCCAAAATCCCCATTTCCTCAAACGATTAGTTCACCAAAGCCATGTTTTTTGGGGCTACACACAACCAAAATCTCAATTTTCTGGACTGTGAGCTTCAAAGAGTCTAATCTACTCCCCCAAACCCCCATTTCTCAAATGATTATTTCACCAAATCCATGTTTTTTGGGGCTCCAAACAACCAAAATCTCAATTTTCTGGACTATGAACTTCAAAGAGTCCATATTTGGGATGATATATGCTTCCAGGAGCCCCATTTCTTAGATAACAAACACCCACAATCCCCATATTTTGGATTGCACCACCCACAATCCCCAATTTTTAGGCTATTAACACAAAGAATTCCAATTTCCCTAACTACACACACTCAAAACCCACATTTCGGAGACCACAAATTCCCAGAATCCCCCTTTTCTGGACAACAAATCCCTTTCTGGGACTACAAACTCTCCGAAACCCACCCTTTTTGTCTCTTCTAATCTCTACTTCCTTTTGACTACACAACCCCCATTACTTTACTTGTAATATAATATATTGTATATACATATATTTATAATTTTATAATGTAATACAATATAATACTAATAATAATACAATATTATTTATTTGCATTATTTCTACCCTGTTCATATCAGCCCGAAGGCGACTCAGAGCGGCAATATTATAATTATATAATAATTTATTATATTTATTTATTTATTTATTTGCTTCACTTTTATACCGCATATTTCAGCCTTTGACAGGCGACTCAATGCGGTTCACAGTGCAATTAAAACACAATAATACAAAAGCCGGAACGACAAGTCGCTCCACAACAATTAACATCAGACAGACAACCCACAAACAACATATATAACGCCTCCGTTAAAGTCAGATCCATTCTCATAGTCATTATGCCATTCCTATATTCAGTTACCATCTTCCTTAGTTAGTTGCAATTACTTAGCCAAACGCTTGCTCAAAGAGCCAGGTCTTGACCATTCTCCGAAATGCCAGCAATGAAGGTGCCTGTCTGATGTCTACTGGCAGGGCATTCCATAGCCGAGGGAATATAAATACACATATATTGTATGTGTGTGTGTGTGTGTGTGTGTGTGTGTGTGTGTGTGTGTGTGTGTGTGTATATATATATATATATCTTGTAAGCCACTCTGAGCCCTTCGGGGTGAGAAGGGCGGCATATAAATGTCGTAAATAAATATATAAATATTAGCCCCATTCCCTTGGCTTGTTTGGCAATACAGTCCCAATTTTCCCTTCCTTTTTGAGGGACTATAACTCCCAGCATCCACCCAAAGTTGACTTTTCCCAAGCTTTCCTCCAAGGGGAAAGGAAGGCATTAAAACCTCATATTGTCAAGAAAGAAAAACAACAAAGGAAGAAGCCAAAGAGGGATTCTGGGACCCCAAAAGCCCCCTTTTCCCTTTGGGAGTTCTAGTTTGTTGCTTCTCCCAGGCCTTGCATTTTCCTCCCTGAAACTAGAGGTTCCCCTCCTCCTCTTCCCCTGGCCTTTGGCCCTTTCTTTACTGATTAACGAAGTTTCCTCCTAACGAATCTTTCAACAGTTTTACTCCTTGGCTACAAAAGGAAGCCAACCGTCCATCCCACCCGCAACACACCCTGTAATAAACACACCTTTTCCTCCATCCTTTCGAGTGGTTTTTACAAATTGAGAGTTGAAGCAGAACTAGATCAAAAGATATCAAAGTATGGGAAGAATGAGGAAAATCCACCTTAAATTTATACTATTTTGGCCAAAGGTAGGAGTCGGTAAACAACGTCATGCTTTCAATCAGGATTTTGTTGTACTTTGTGGTTCAAAATCAGGATTTTGTTGTACTTTGTGGTCCAAAATCAGGGTTTTGTTGTATTTCGTAGTCCAAAATCAGGGTTCTGTTGTATTGCGTAGTCCAAAATCAGGATTTTGTTGTATTTCGTAGTCCAAAATCAGGGTTTTGTTGTATTTCGTAGTCCAAAATCAGGGTTTTGTTGTACTTTGTGGCCCAAAATCAGGATTTTGTTGTACTTTGTGGTCCAAAATCAGGACTTTGTTGTACTTTGTGGCCCAAAATCAGGATTTTGTTGTACTTTGTGGCCCAAAATCAGGACTTTGTTGTACTTTGTGGTCCAAAATCAGGATTTTGTTGTACTTTGTGGTCCAAAATCAGGATTTTGTTGTACTTTGTGGCCCAAAATCAGGATTTTGTTGCACTTGTCATAGTCCAAAGCACCTGGAGGACTCAAGTTGGCCCCTGCCTGATTTGTGCTATAGAATGAATGCATTTTGACATTTTTTCCCCTGCCTTTTCTCCCTATCTTTGAACTTTTAAACCAGAGCAAACCTGTGGGTGTTTCAAAGCGCGCCCACGCAGCCCTGTTGTACTGGATCTCTCCAACTCCCTAAGGGCAGGCTTTAATTAGAAGCAGCTCCTTTTTTGGCAGGTCATGAGAAGCAGCCAGCAAGGTAGCCTCTGTGCATGTGCAGAGAGTGGTCTCTGACTAACTAACTAATAACTAACCAATAGAGGTGGGAAGGGCATGGATGAATGCCCCATTGCACCCACCCCCCATTTTGCCTTTCCAAAACTGGGGAGGAAAGTAACCAAATTTACAACTGTTTTACATCTATCTATCTAAGGGGGGTTGGACTGGATGGCCTTTGGGTGTCCCTGCTAGACCTATCTAATCTATCTATCTGTATTTGGGGGACTGAACTGGATGGCCTTTGGGTGTGCCTTTTAAAGCCACCATTATATCTGTCTATCCTATTTAATCTACCTGTATTTGGGGGCTTGGACTGAATGGCCTTTAGGGGTCCCTTCTAAAGCTATATATCTGTATTTTGGGGGGCTTTGGGCTGGATGGCTTTTGGGGGTCCCTTTTAAAGCTATATATCTATATTTTGGGGGGCTTTGGACTGGATGGCCTTTGGGAGTGCCTTCTAAATCCATGATTCTGTCTGCCTATCTGTCTATTCTATCTGTTT